GACTTCATGGCTGCCATTCTGAGTATCCATGTTTTGCAGATGCCCTTATCCCATCTGTTCATAGTTCGCTGAGTTTTTAAGAAGAGTGGGTGTTGGATTTTATCAAATGCTTTTTCTTCATCTATTGACATAAGTGTATATATATTTTTAAAGGTTGTTACATGAGGATCACAGTTTTGTTTTTTTCCAGATGTTAAACCAAGTCTGGATACACCCCACTTGGTCATGATGTACTTACATTGTTGGATTCAATTGCTAAAATTTGTTTAAAATTTTTTCATTTGTATTCACGAGGGATGTGTTTTGGAAAAGTCTGGCAGGACTGCGCGGGGGCGGGGGGGGGGGGATTGGGGGGCCCATTGGCTTAAGGGTTGAACAGCCGAGAGGATCCTATGATCGTGAGTTAGGGGAGTGACCTGCTTGTGACATGCGGCTGCATTGTGTACATGGGGTTCAGGGTGAGGACTTGTACATCCTGGGAAGTGGGAAGCAGGTAGTTGGATATTGTATGGAGCTCACAGGGGAGATCCGGCCTGCAGGATAAATTTGGGATAGCATATGAATGTGCTTAGAGCTGAGAGAGTTGGGTTTGGGCCCTCCCACCACCCAGAGGCTGGGCCCTGGAGGAGAGAAGGGGGAGGAGGAGGAAGGGAAGAGAATGAGGGCTGAGGAGGTGGGGGGAGGAGGAGGATGGGGTCTGAGAAGGATGGGGAGGGGAGGAGGGCCCGGTAAATGGGGCAGTGCAGGGAGGTGCTTCCCGCAGGCTCAGTCAGCCAGGAATGCTTTGGGGAGCTGGGCCTGGGAGGGATGGGGTGCCGCTGGGCTTGGGAAAGGCTCCTGTGGCTTTGGCTGTGGTGGAGGTTTAGGAGTGGGCTGAGCGTGGCGCCAGCGGAAGAGGCTGGAAGGTCTGGCCATGGGCTGCAGCTGCCCTTCTCGTCTGGTTCTGCTCCAGGCGTGAGGGGCCTCCTCTGGGTGCCTTCAGGGCCCTGCTAGCTCTCCCTCTCTGATGGCTGAGGGGCCTTAAACAGGGTGGAGTTTTGTGATGGCAGGGACCGGACCCTCCCCACACCAGTTTGCACCTAGTGGCGGCTCCCCCGCTGGCCCCAGCCCTCGACCTGCCATGTGCGGCCGCAGGACACAAGGCCAGGTTAACTCGGGGTCTGGGCCTCTGTGCCCCCAGCTTCCTCTCAATAGCTGGAGAATTGCCAGCCCAGGTAGGGTCCAGCTGTAGACCCCAGCCCAGCCTGGTTCTGATGTGGTGGCTTCAGTGACAATCCACTGACCCTCAGCCTCTTCCCATCCCCCTCCTGGGTGTCTCTAACCTCCCCACTCCCTCCAGTGCCCGTGTCCTGTTCCTCTTGGACACTGTAGTAGCTGCTCACCCAGTTCAGAATTCCTTCCCTGTCCTCCTCCCTGGAGCATCACGTCCTACCTGCACCCCTGTGTCCATACCCCAGCACCCCTCATCCCCCTCCTCCTGCCTCGTTTCCCCTGTCTCCCCCCTTGCCCTTGTCCTCATGACACATGAGCCCTGTGCTGTGCGGGCAACATTCTGTCCAGTCACCCTCTTCTCCCTCAGGGTCTCTTGGCCGCGCAGGGCATCTGCAGGCCCCCACTGCCTAACCCTCATCCACGCTCCCCTCACCTGGGCAGGGCAGCAACATGCAGCCTGGGCTCCCCACCCCTCAGCTGTGGGCTTCTGTCTCCCTGCCTGCCCTGGTTGGCTCCTCGAGGGTGGAGGCCCCTCTGTATCCCTGCCCCATGCATAGGCAGGAGAGGTGTGCATGAGGGCTGTGGAGAGCCCCCAGACGCATGAGGATGGGGCCTGTACCCCAAGCCTCTGTTGCAGATCGGGGCAGCTGTAGGGCTTCTCACCCTTTGTCTTAGTCTGTGTTTGGGTTGCTAGAAAACAGTACCTGAGCAAGACTGGAACAGAGGCTTCTTTGGCTCAGGATTCTGCAACAGCTGCATCTAGCACAGGCCTCAGGCTGCTTCCATTTGTGGCAGAAAGTGATAGAGCAGCTGGAGTCAGCTTCAACATGAGCTTTGGGGGAAAAAACACATCTAAACTGTGTCACCCTTCCTGCATATTTAAATAATGCACAGCAGGAGCCAGCCTGTTGGCAGTGACAGCTCACTTTAGGACTCTTGGTCGGGGCAGTTGCCAGCATGAGCACCAGGGACACCAGGCCATGTGTCCCCCTCTTCGGAGGTCCTCAAGCACATGGTCATGGTGCGACTGTACAGGAGCCATGGGCATTTGTTCACACAAGTGTCCACAGACAGCGCTTTGAGGGATGTGCTGGGGCCAGTTCTCACACAGTCGCCAGGACAAAGACACTTGTTCCTTCCCCAGGCAGAGCCAGCCCTCGCAGCCTTTTGTCCTGTGCAGGCGTGTCGGTGCCCTTGCAGGAGGAGGAGGGGCTTGCTAGCTGGCTGTCAGTGTAGACTCTTATTTGCAAGTGCAGAGTTGAGTTCCTAGAGCTGTCACTTGCAGCTGCAGAGCAGGATGTGTTCGTAGGTCTCTGCAGAGGGGGGAGAGGGACACAGTGGCAGGCGTGAGCCACGTGGGGCCAAGCCCCTGACATGGCTTTCCAGGGTGGCCTGGGAGAGGCCGGCACCCCCAGTGGCATTTGGGTTTGGCACGATGGAATTATTTTCTCTGCTTGTGCCATATGGTCACCAGTGTGCATGTGTGTATGTGGCCATCAAGTCAGGGGAGGGACCCTACCATGTCCTGAGTGCAGCTCTGGCATCAGGAGGCCAGGGTAAGCTTTGTGAGGTCCTTAGCACCCATTGGCCAAATGGGAAAATTTGCTCTGGCAAAGGAGTTTTTGTTTGTTTTATATTCTTCATGACAGTATGTCCATTTTGAAGTCTGAGGCTCCCGAGGCTGGGCCTGAGTATTGACCCTGAAATGTGTAGGTATAACCCAGGGATGAGCAGGATCATCGTCATGAGGAACCGAAAGTCTTTGCAAAAAGGAGGTGGCGGTAACGTCATCCCTGTGCGCTGCATTTGTCTCACTTTACCAGGTGTGACTGATGCTGATGGTTTCTCCGTCCTGGCTGCAGAGGACAAAGTTGAATTTGCTGAGCACTGTGTTTATGTGTCTGTCTAGCCATGAGCTGAGGGGAGAGGCCGTACTGGGTAAGAAGTGCCTCAGGACAAGGCCAGGCCCAAGCTGCCACCCACCTCGCTGTGGGCCAGACTCCCCAGCGCCTCAATTTCCCCATTGTGAATATGGGGCAGCAGTGGTGCCTTTGCCACACAGCTGTTCTGAGCATTAATGTTGAGTGACGTCATGTGTGGGAAGATGCTGTGGGTGCTCAGTAAACACCAGCATCGTCTTCACACAAAGGCAAAACGGTCCGTGCTGCGACGGACAGATCAAGGTAGTTAGCACCATTTTCTTTCAGCCTCTCCAAAAAAAGACTTAGAAAATTGAATAGGCTCCACAGAGGAATTTGAAATGGCTCTCGGCATCATTGCAGAAATTGGGAAGTTGTTTTCCTCACAGCAAACCCTGGGCATCCACACATGGGTCTTGGTTGAAGAATGACCTTGCAGAGGGATTGGCTGGTGGTGTCTGGCTTCTGCTTGATGCTGTCTGTTGTCACTTGGGTTCTACTCTGCAGTGCTGGCACATCACGGCTTCGGAATTCTGACCACGTAATCTAATCCCCGTGGAACAGGACCTCCTAGGGCATAGAGGGTGATCAAACTGTGTCCTTGGGCAACGAGAGGCTGAAACGTTGGCCCATGGTCATCGTACAGTCCTCTCCTGTGGTCTGGGGCTACGGCCCACAACGGAGCTCTTCCCGCTTCCCAGTGTCCACTCCCAAGTCCACCTCACTGACCGCAGCCTGTCCAAGGGTGTGTCCCAGGGCCCCAGGGTACAGCTCTGTTAGCAACCCTGTCCATTCACCTGGCCCTTGAAGGCACCTGGCCTTGCATCTGTCACGACAACGGTAACCCTGTGTTCAGTGCCTGACAGATCCCATTTTGCCTGAGTGATCACCCAGCTCTTGCCAGCATCTCCAGGGTCTTCCCATTATCCACCAGGTACAGCCAACCCATGTTTGCACACATGACCTCTGATATGGAGCCACTGTCTGAGTCCCCTCCACTGATACCAGATCCCTGAGAATTTACCACCTGCCTACCATGTCGTTGTGTTGCAGCAGCGCAGCTGAAGAGGATGTGGTACCTCGTCCCAGGCTGTGGGCTGAGGAAGACCTGTGCCATGTCACAGGGTGTGGACTAAGGAGGACGTGGTGCCATGTCTCAGGCTGTGGGCTGAGGAGGACGTGGCGTTGTATCCCAGGCTGTGGGCTGAGGAGGACGCGGTGCCGTGTCCCAGGCAGTGGGCTGAGGAGGATGCGGCGCCGTGTCCCAGGCTGGGCTGAGGAGGATGCAGTGTCGTGTCCCAGGCTGTGGGCCGAGGAGGACACATCCCGTGTCTAGGTGTGGACTCGGTCAAGACATAGTCCTCCTTGCAGGATGAGAAGTAATTAATTACAGGAGCAGACTCCAAGCGGTCATGGGGGCCCACCCTTTCCCTGTGCTGTGAGGGATCTGCCATGGCAGCCCCAGGGCTTGCCCCAACCTCCCAGGGTCACGGGTGGACTCTGCAGAGGCCACGAGAGGGGTTCTGCCTGGCCTTGGCATGCTAGGCACTCAGCTGTCCCTGCCTGAAGGATGACACCTACAGCAGTGTGGGGGGAAGCTCAGTGGTACAGGTCAGCGATGGTATGTAGGAATCACTCTTGGGACAGAGTGACCTGCTGTGTGTAGGGAGACACCATTGCAGTCACACGTGTCCCATCTGCCTATGGGCATCATGTAGGGTTCCTTGTCCAAGTTCGGATTACCTGGGCTCTGCACATTCAGTACCAGACAGCTTCCCTTTCCGTTCATAACGAGGCAGCGTGAAGAAGGTGTTTGATGGCCCAAGTTCTAGCTGAGGCCTTGCCTGTTTTCTTTCTCAGGTTCAGACAAAGAAAGAAGAGCCTCTGCCCCCAGCCACCAGCCAAAGCATTCCAACCTTCTACTTCCCCAGAGGACGCCCGAAGGAGACGGCGAACGTGGATGCTGTCATCGCCAAGATCGAGCGGACTTTTGCCCAGTTCCCACATGAGAGAGCCACAATGGAGGACATGGGCAGAGTGGCCAAGGTGGGTGTCACAGGCGTATGAGCATGACACGGGTCACCCGTCTACACAGGAGGGTGTGAACAGAGTGGCCGAGGTGTGTGTCACAGGAAAGTGAGCATGACACAGTCGCCCCCTCAACTCCACATGGGAGGACGTGGGCAGAGTGGCCAAGGTGTATTAGTCTGTTTCTGTTGTTTATAACAAGATACTTGGAACTGGGTACTTTGTAAGAAAATGAAACTTATTGCTTACAGTTTCTGAGGCTGGGAAGTCCACAGTCTGGGGAAAACTTAATGGTGAGGGTCTTCTTTGGTTGTGGCTTTACAGCAATGCAGGAGTCTCACATGGCAGAAAATGGTGGAGCAGAGAGAGAAATAGCTTCTCATGCAGTGTCCTTTTAAAGCCCTCAGAACCACACCCCTGACCACCATTATTTATCCGTTCACTACTGCATGGTCCTACAATCCAATCACCTCCTCAAGGCCCCACCTTTCAATTACCTTAATAGGACTTCCCACCCTCAATAGTTATAGTGGGGATTAAGTTTCCAATGTATGGACTTTGGGGGACACAATTCAGTCAGTCCATAGCAACAGCATGTGAAATGACACAGCTCACCCCAGAGCTCCACACAGGAGGACGTGGACAGAGTGACTGAGGTGGGTGTCTCAGGTTTGTGAGCACAGCACAGGTTTATATCTGTGGTTATAATGATGTTTAGAGAGTTTGTAATTTGATTCCTAAATCTTGAAAATCTGGAGCACTGGATGGATATTGCATTAGTGTTATCCTGAGATACTGAAGAGCACAGACGCCGTGTGTTGCCCTCCCAGAGCAAGCATTAATGCTGTGGCCTTTTGGAGGGGATGCGAGTGGCGGGGCCTCTGTGCACCGGGCCATGGCCTTCTCAGATGGATCTACGTGTCCACGTGTAGTGATACATGAGTGGTTTTTTAAATTTAGCCTGAAGCCCCTCGAGCTGTGTTCATGGTTCACAATTTGGTTTCCTTCGGTGGTGGGTGTTCAAGCTTGCCCCCGCGGCATGGGTGGCTTCAGCACATTTATTCTCATTTCTGTGTGCTGTCCTCTTGTGGGAATGCCCATGACCTGCAATGTCCACCCTTGCTGGTGGTGTGCGTGTTGCAAGGACATGTACCCTGAGTCCTCTCCCAGTTCTCCAGCACCTGACCCTGGGGTGGGATTGCTGGGGCAGAGGACATCCTCCCCTCGGTTAGATGGCACCCGCGGCATCAACCAGCATGTGAGCCTGCGTCGAGCAAGGCTCTGTCCCTGCCTTCCCATCTCTGCTGGTGTGCTGCGCTCATCAGAGGGGCTGAGCACAGGCACACCTTGGGGTAGGAGTTTGCATGTCGTGATGGCCCACAAGGCTGAGCCGCTTTAGAATGTGCTTCTGGAGTCGGTTTTCAGGTTTCTTCTGCAAATTGTTTGTTCCTGTCTTTCGCTTGTTTTGCTACAGGGGTGACTCCCCCATACCCTCCCCTCCCACGTAGAGCATACTTTTATGTCCTGGATGCTAACTTCATGTACGAGGGCACTTTGAAAACTTGTGAAAATTCACAAGCCATACAATTCTCCCATTCAAAGTATACAGTTCGGTGGCTTTTAGTGTATTCAGAGTTGTGCAAACATTACCCCAGAAAGAAACTTTATAGCCTTTAGCTATTACCTCCCAATACCCTCATCCCCCACCTCTAGGAAACTGCTAATCTGCTTTCTGTCTCTGTGGATTTGCCTGTGCTGGCATTTCACGTAGATGGAATCCTACACTGTGTGGTCTTTGTGTCTGGCGTCTTTCACTGATCACGATGTGTTCGAGGTTCATCCGTGCTGTAGCTCGTGTCACTGCCTCGTGCCTGTGCCTCGTGCCTTTTCACGGCTGAGTGATATTCCATTGTGTTATCCATTCATCTGTTGATGGACATTTGAGTTGTTTGCACTTTTTGGCTGTTGTGAATAGTGCCGCTGTGAATATTTGTGTACAAGTCTTATGTAGAGAGACATTACGTTTCTCTTGAATATAGACACCTAGGAGTGGAATTTCTGGATCTAATGGTATCTATGTTTAGCTTTGTGAGGAACCACAAGACTGCTTCCCAAAGCAGCTGCCCCGTTTCACATTCCCACCAGCAGGGTGTGAGGGCTCCATTTCCTCACCTCCTCTCCAGCACCTGTCGTACGACTTTTTGATTGCAGACCTCCTATCCCAGTGGGTGTGAAGTGGGATCTCAGTGATTTGCATTTCCCTGAGGACTAATAACGTTGAGCCTCATTCTGTGAGCTTATTGGCTATCTGTATGTTGTCTTTGGAGAAATGTCTGTTCTAGTCCTTAGCCTATTTTTACATTGAGTTGTCATTGTGTTGTTGAGCCCTAAGAGTTCTTTATGTATTCTAGATTCAAGTCCTTTGTCAGATACATGACATGCAAACATTTTCTCCCATTCTGTGGGTTGTCTTTTCACTTTTTTGGTAGTGTCCTTTGATACACAAAAGATTTTAAGTTTGTTGAGGTTCATTTGATCTAATTTTTTCTTTTGTTGCCTGTGCTTTTAGTATCATATCTAAGAAGTGATTGCCAAATCCAAAGGTCATGAAGATTTATCCATTTTTCCTAAGAGTTTTATAGTTTTAGCTGTTAACATTTAGGTCTTTAATCCATTTGGGGTTAATTTTTGTGTACAGTGACATAGGGGTCCAATTTCATTTTTTTGCATGAGGAAATCCAGTTGTCCCAGCACTGTTTGTTGAATAGACTATTCTTTCTCCATTGAGTGGTCTTGGGCCCTTGTCAAAAATCAGTTGACCTTAAATGTGAGGGTTTGTTATTGGGATCTGATTCCATTCCGTTGATCTATATTTCTACCTTCATGCCAGTACCACACTGTCTTGATCACTGTTGCTTTGTAGTAAGTTTTGAAATAGAGAAGAAGAGTCCTCCAATTGCCTTCTTTTTTCAAGATTGTTTTCACTCTTTCGGATCCCGTGCAATTCCATATGAATTTTAGAATCAGCTTGTCAATTTCTACGAGGAAATCAGCTAGTATTCTGATGGGGATTGCATTGAATCTGTAGACCAATTCGGAGAATACTGCCATCTTAACAACATGACGTCTTTGTCATGAGAGCCCCCAGCTAATTTGAAGTTCCAGCAAAGACTGGCTGGCATCCCTGCCCTAACAAGAGATGGACGGGAGCTGGGCCTGGGAGTGTACATGTGCCTTTTGGGGGATACTTCTTGTACCTGGATGATGGCCTCATGCCTGGCTATGTGAGCTGTGATAGGGTGCCCTCAAACGGGAAACTTGTTTATGCCAGCAAATGCCCTGTGGCTCTTGGTTGACCTGTGTCCAGTGCCCACTGCCCTGGTGCTGGGAGCCCGCCCTTGTCTTCTTTCTGGTCCTGGGGAAAACCATCCTGTAGTTTCTCTGGTTCTTCTGGTGGAAGGCACGGATTCAGAACACCACCAATGATAGGAAACAAGTTCAAAGAGTCATCACTCACATATCCTGGGCAGGGAGGGCACCAGGAGTTGGGAGGGCCATCCTCTGTCCTAGGGTCACGGGAGGCAGGGGAAGAATCAGGCAGAGAGACACAGTGTGTGGCAACCACCAGTGTACATGAGGGAACAGGATGTGGGTCACTTCGAGTTCAGAGGCAAATGGATGAACGGTCCATGTAAAGCAAGTGGCAGGAAGGCAGGCAGCCCCGTCTGCCAGGCAGGCACTGCACCTCTGGGCTCTTGTCTGTGGACTCCAGCTTGGACCATTTGGATGTGGGTTCTTCATCCAATCCCCAGGCAGCACCTGTACTGCATGGTTCCCATCACAGGCAGATGGGGATGGACCATGTTGAGGAACTGGCCAAAGTGTAGCACTGGAAAAAGAAACTGGCGAGGGTAGCTGAGCCCTACTACAATATGAAAAAGTTAGACTGATATCCTTTCTAAATGGATGCCAAGGCCACACAGAACTGTGAGATTTCACTCCTGTCTCTGATCCATGCGCACGGGCTGTCTTTCCGTTTATTTAGATCTTCAATTTCTTTCAAACATGTCTTTTAGTTTTTAAAGTATGTGTTTTACACTTTCATTAAATTTATTACACATTATTTTTTTCTTTTTGATGCTATTGTGAATGGAATTATTTTCTGAATTTTATCTTTGGTTGTCATCACAAGTGTATTTATTATACGATTGATGTATTGATCTTGTATCCTGCGATCTTTCTGAGCTCATTTATTAGTTCTTATAGTTTTAAAGTGGATACAAAACTATGTCACCTGCAAATGGCAATAGTTTTACCTCCTTTCCACTGTTTACGTCTTTCGTTTCTTTTTCTTGCCTGGTTGCTCTGGCTGGAACCTCCAGTGTACTGTTGAGTAGAGGTGCAGGAGTGGACATGCTTGTCCACTGCCCCGTTCAGGAAGAGTGTCCGCTCTTTCACACTGAGACTGATGTCAGCTGCAGGGTTGTCGCAGATATCCTTTATCAGGTTGAGGACAATTCTTTCTATTTGTAGTTAAAGTGTATTTATTGAGAATGGATACTGGATTTTGTCAAATGCTTTTTCTGCATCTATTGAGATGGTTTTTTTTAATCTCTTGATATGGTGTATTACCTGAGTTGGTTTTTGGATGTTACACCAACTTTGCATTCCTGGGATAAATTTCACTTGGCCATTATGTAAAATTCTTTTTATATGTTGCTGATTTCAGTGATTTTTGCATCTGTATTTATAAGAGATGCTGGTTGGTCATTTCCTTGGATTCCTTTGTCTGATTTTGGTATTGGGGTAATACTGGACTCAGAATGTGTCGAGAGGTTAGAACCTTCTCTTCTATCAGGGGTTGCCTTTTTAAAGTATTTTCTTAATTTTGTTTTTTAGGTATGTAAAACATACATGGTTCCAAGAAGAAAACTAAAAAAACACTTTCAGATAAGTCCAGATTCTATCCCTGTCTGTGCTCTTCTAACCCCTATAAGTAATGGTTTTTATAGCTTTGG